TTTTAGCTCCACTTGGAATGCATGGTTATGATAATGAATTCCGCGAAATGCATCCCTTCATGGTCGCCTATGGACCTGGCATAAAGAAAAAGGAGGGTCTTCAGAAATTCCAGCAGGTTGACATCTACCCCTTCATTTGCGGTCTCCTGGGTCTGCAAAGACCAAACATCATCGATGGACAAATTGAGCGAGTACTGCCATTCATGAATAATCCACCGTCGGAAGAATTCGTCAAGACCTTTAAGCTCTATGCCAGTGGAATCCGCGCAGATCCCTGAAGAGGTGCCTACTCCAAGTGGAAGGATGATTTATTCAGACATTTGTGATACTCAGCCCTCCCCGACGTAACAAGACTTGCGCCTAGCTTTGTACAAACCATTTACCCCGGGCACTTTCTCTGACGTAAAAATAAATGTCATGTACCTTTAATTAGAAGTTGATATCGTGCCCGTTTGTCACGACAGTAATCTCTAATTTATGATTCACCCTGTTCAGTCAGCCTGTCTGAATGACCATTTTACGACGTGCAGCCTCAGAGACGCTCAGATGCATAAAATACTATAGCAATAACGCGCAATACATGACGAAATAGAGTATTGGCGGAGGAATATATATCAGATGGAGCTTTACTGAAATCATTTAAGTAGTAAAATACCATCTCTTTCGGCCAGAGAAAATCAATTCTAGTCTTTTAGGCGGTAATTTATAATACAGGTCCGATAAATAAACACATTTCTACGATTTAATTAGTAGATCTGTCAGCCATATTGATTTTCGTAGACAGAATACAATTCTTGATAATGGGATGGGTGACAGTTCGACCATCAAGTTCGATTATGTCCACCGTAGACCCCAAAGAGATTGGTGCGGGGACGGTGATTTGAGCGGAAGGATGGAGGCGGTTATGTAACCATTGGCCACGCCAATTTCGAAGCTTGCAGGAGGTTCTTTTGCGCGCACAAAACCGGCTTCCTCAACCGGATCGTGGTTGCTTCTGCTGTTGCCAGCAACCGCTAACTTTGGGTAGTCTGGCGGGACCTTATAAATTACTTTACTAACTTTATTGGCATCCACACGATGTCCGGAGTCAATCACGTGGGCAAGGGTGGCGCTGTTGATGTTTCTGAAATCATCTTTGCTCGGCCATACCGGGAGGTGCTCCCGCATTCTTTTGGATAAGAGCAACTCGTGCGACCAATATGACCTGCTTTACAGGAGCAAGTCAATGAGCAGATGCACGTAAATGCGGTCTGAGCTGACAGCTTATCCTTACCTTCGCCATGCAGAACCGGGTTGGTTGAGAATACTACCCGACATTTCGCTGCTTGGAAGGTTCGCGATACAGCTTGATTGAGGGGTCTACTTAGGAGTTCACTTGCTCCATCCCCCTGAAAGCCGACTTTGAGGAATAGCGTCTTTTCTTCTACAGACGGTGTGCTAGGTTGTGTGGAATTGTCTACCCACCTTACTTTGTTTTCAGCGGAAACTATCTATAGATGCAAGCTCTCTTCCAAGAAGAACAATACTTAGCATGCCAAAACCAAATTTATTAACCTGAAGGTTACTTCTGGAAACCCACGTGCACAGGAAACTAGGAAAGTCGTTTTATTGTTAGTTTTACGAACTTCAGTTACTATCTGGAGCATTGCAGTTTCCCCTGTATTTTACGGGCCATTCTGAGATTAGCAAAATGAAAGGAAAGCCCGATTTCTGGAACGACAATTTTATTCTTCTGAACTCATCAGGAACAAACAAAGCAGAGCCTCCAACGCTCTGGCACCCTTGCTGTCTCATTTTCTCTGACGTTGGCTTCTCATATGGAGCCAAACGCTCGAAAGAAAAAAATTTTCGTTCCAGAGTTCGCGTTTTCTTCTTCTTTTAAACAAGAACCTGGGTCTCGCATATTTGCTTCGATTCGTGAAAGAAAAGCCGTTCGTAGAAAACTTGCGTTGTACCCGTAAATTTTCACGCCGGTGACACCAACCCGTCATCAAAGGAAAAGAACAGGAAAGAAAATAATATGTTAGAAACACATCGACTGAAATGACTGGATGGATAACTGCTACACCAGAGCATGGCACATAAATACGGTAGGTTTTGGATTGGAAGGGTAAAGGGGAGAACAGTTACGGCTCCCAGGAAGTAGTTAGGAAGAATTAAGTTTGGTTGTCAGACCAAGACCTTTGTTTACCCGATGATCCGCATGTATTAGTACATATGTGTACACCGATCATATGCAGGGCACACCTGCCCTGGTAGTTAATGCCTTTCAGCTGTCATGGGTGGATGTGATCACACAACCGTTTGCCAATAATGCCTTTCATCCGTTATGCGAGGATGTGATCACACAACCGTTTGCCACATGATGAAGTAAATGTTGCTTACTATGTTTCAGTAATATAGTTATTATTTTTAGGCATTACCGGCAGAAACATTGGGACTTGGATTATACGTATTTCGACCTCATTAGGTCTCATCAGATGCAGATACCCAACTC